TGACAAAGCACAATGATTAATACTCTCCAAACCAAACTGATCTTTCCATATATGCCGCTTAAGCATTGAAATCCCAGAGACAGATCTCCCAATAAACACAATCATTGCCATTTACAGTGAATCACGTGAACTGCTTTGCTGTGTCTCTTCAACATGATAAACCGCTGTATCACATGCACTGTTTATCTTTGATACACTCTGCACTGTTGCTCAACACGGTTTTGTGATTAATTGCTTCCCATTATATTTATGTTAATTCAGCTATTACAGAGTGTGAGATTGACTCTCCCTGTACAGACACAATAAATATAGACACGTATCACACGCAGACAGTCTTCCTTTAACTGGCCATGTAGGTGAGCGGCTCCCTCACCCGAGAGTACAGACAGACAGAGTGGAGATCTCCAAAATGTAATATGAGATCAATACCCTCCACAGATTAATATAGTCCGCACCCGAATCGGTCGCCCGAAAATCATTTCAGTGAGGACACAGGCAAAGGGGGAAACAGCATTTCGAAATGTCAGTTTAGTGCAGCTTTATCCGTGAGGCTGTGCAAAGCAGAGTCTGAAAAAATTCAGTGGGTGTGTCAGAGGGCCAACATGGCTCAGTAATTCAGGTTAACCTTACCATAGGAAGTAATATATGGAGAGCCTAAGAAAGCAACATAGCGAGTGCGAGAGAGAGAGAGAGAGAGAAGGGATGGGGAGGGAACGGGGGTGGGGGTGGAGAGAGAGATAGAGAGAGAGAGAGAGAGAGAGAGAGAGATTGAATGAGAGGGAAGGAGACATAGAGAGTGAGAGATTGAGTGAGTGAGTGAGTGAGAAGGAGAGAGAGAGACATAGAGAGGGAGAGATTGAGTGAGAGGGAGACGGAGAGAGAGAGAGAGGGGGGGAAAGGTTATGGCGGAGGCGATGTGCGGTTGGAGAGAGAGAGAGAGAGAGAGAAGGGATGGGGGGAGGGAACGGGGGTGGGGGTGGAGAGAGAGATAGAGAGAGAGATAGAGAGAGAGAGAAAGATTGAATGAGAGGGAAGGAGAGAGAGAGGTAGAGATTGAGTGAGTATGTGAGTGAGTGAGTGAGTGAGAAGGAGAGATAGAGACATAGAGAGGGAGAGATTGAGTGAGAGGGCGACGGAGAGAGAGAGAGAGAGAGAGAGAGGGAAAGGTTATGGAGGAGGCGATGTGCGGGTTGAGAAAGAAAGAGAGAGAGAGAGAGAGAGAGAAAGATTGTGAGAGGGAGAGAGAGAGAGTGAGAGAAAGATTGATTGAGGGGGAAGGAGAGAGAGAGAGATAACGATTGAGTGAGAAGGAGAGAGAGTGAAAGCGAGAGCGATTGAGTGAGATGGAGGGAGAGAGAGAGAGAGAGAGAAGATATTTACATGACAGTAACACGCCCACAACACTACAGCGCCAACTCGGCTCCCTGAAGCAGAGACGATTCGCAGGAGACTTTATGGAAGTTTTCAACATAAATAGTGGATGCGATAGGGAGCAGCAAATGAAACTATTTCCACTGGTGGGTGGGTGGACTCTTAACCCGAGGACACCGATACAAATGTTTTGTTAAATAAACTATGCGGGAAAGGAGGAGAAACGTTTGAACACATCCAGTTGCTCGGATCTGGAATGAGTTGCCTCGATAATTCGATAATTAGATATCTAATTGGGTAGCACAGATTTGCAGGACTACGGGGAGAGCGCGGAGGGGTGGAATACATTTATATAGCCCTTTTTGGAGGCACCGGCACAAACAAAATGACCTGATTGCCTTCTGTGCTGTACAATTCTGTGATGAGCCGCTGATCACTGAACCAGAAACGCTGATAGAAGATAACAGTCTTTACTTTACGAACCAAAGGACCGCACTGGCCACTCCACACCGCTTGCAAACAGCAACGTTACTCTTTGTGCCCAAACAGCAACCAGTCACCTCCTGACGCTAAAATTGACTCAACTATTAACCTGGGAAATAACAGATTCATAAACCCAGGCCTCGGAGTTCTGGCTCCGCCACTGTTAAGCACTCCGAGACGCTACCCGGTATGGAGGGCGCTGTATGAATGCAAGTTTTTATTGTTGTAAACAGCTATTTTAAATCGGGGTCCATGATTTACCGACCCACCGGCCATTGGAAATAGATGCTCCTGATCACCGCGTCTCTCGCTAGAAAGCTAACACTTGTTCTGAGAGGAAAGACCATCAGTGCAGTCGTCAGACAGTTAGTTAAGCCCGTCTGTGAGATTTATTAATCAACCACAGTGTTTTATTTCTGTTTATTATCTAGGTTGGAGATCAGAGACACAGATAAATAACGCACATTCGTGTAACCGCAGTATATATCACCATTTGTTTTGGCGAGTACAGATCAAAGACACATGACAGAAACTTCCTTGACACCCAAGTTGGCAGATACCAGGGAACAGGTTTTCGCACTGAAGGATGAGAAGGAGAGTTGAGTGCCATCCGTATACATGTGGAAGTTAACCCTTTGTCTGCGGTTGACATCACCGGGAGAAAGAATATAGATTAGAAGGAGAAGGGGGCCGAGGGTAAAGCCTTGGTGAACCAGCAGGTGACTGGTCGGGAGCAGCAAAATAAACCGTTTCGAAAATGATGTACTGGCGGTTTGTAAGGTTGGTCTCGAACCAAACCAATACTGTCCCATTGAGATGGATCATGGCAGACTGGATTTAGAGGAGGATCGCGCTATCCTTCATGATACCTAGGCAGCAGTGACAGAGTGGGGCTGCATATCCAGGACACTATCGTACAGATATACACATTCGCACACCCACAAACACACACACACACAGATACACACACTCGCACAGCCACACACACACACACACAAACATTGTCGGAATGCTCTTCAACAACAACATATGTACATCGCATGTTACATACACTTGTGGGGAAACTGTGACATGACAGTTTGACTCCCCGATGCCCCAATTCACTGGGCAGCAGTTCAGGGGAACTTGGCATTTTCGGGTGTTTAATGACAGAGGATTTGGGTTCTCAGTTAAGCTTTAGCAGCACAGTCTGTGCCCAGCACTGCCACATACGGGTCTTGCCATATGTATATGTACATACTATGTATGTACGTAGTTATGTATGTATGTATATATGTATGTGTGTGTGTATGTATGTATGTTTGTATGTTGTGTCTGACTCACAAACTGATATGAACATTCACCATCGCCGCACAAAGCATTTCAGAAAAAAATCCTGTGTATTTCCTCCTATTGGACAGGAAAGCGGCAACGCTGAGGCAGTGTTTGATCTGAAACTCTCTTGAAATATGACTCACTAAAAGGAGCGGAGCTTCTTGGAAATTCTTACCCAAGGACTCCAGGAACTCGCTGAGCGTTTGTTTACTGAAGGAGGTGTTGAGGATTAAAACAATCAAAACAGTGATTCAAGGTAATACAAAACTACATGCAAAAACAAAGCCCAATGCTTAATACTCTCCAAACCAAACTGAGATTTCCATGTATGCCTACTATCCCCCTAATTACCTGCCCGTATCCTCGATTCCTTTGGCTCCGGTCTGCTCCACTACCCCCGCCCCAACCACAATACCATCGGTGGCCGGGCCTTCAGCCTCTCAGCCCCGAGGCTCTGGAATTCCATCCCCCAGCGCCTTCGCCGCTTCCTCCCTTTCCTCGTTCAAGGCCGGTCTCAAGACCTTTCTCTTTGACCATGCCATCAGCTCCCCTCTCAACTAACTACCCCCTCCTCGCCCCCTCCCTCCCTCACCCTGACCATTGCCACCTCCTCGCTCCCTCTCTTCCTCACCTCAAGGCCATTCATGGCCTTGCTCCCTCCTACCTCTCCGACCTACTATCCCCCTAAGTAACTGCCCATACCCTCCGTTCCTCTGGCTCCGGTCTGGTCCACATCCCCCGCCCCAACCGCCCTACTATCGGTGGTCGGGCCTTCAGCCCCTCAGCCTCCAGGCTCTGGAACTCCATCCCCCAGTGCCTTCGCCTTGCTTCCTCCCTTTCCTCCTTCAAGGCCGGTCTCAAAACCTTTCTCTTTGACCGTGCCTTCAGCTCCCCTCTCGACTCTCTACCCCCTCCTCGTTCCCTCTCTTCCCTCACCTCACCCTGACCATTTCCACCTTGCTCGGGTCCTGTCCCAATTGTACAGCGCCTTGGGACGTCCTCCCGACGTGAAAGTCGGTCTATAAATGGAATCTTGTTGTTGTTGTTGTTCCCTCCCCTCACGCCGACCAATTCCTCCCTCCTCATTCCGCCGCTTCCCTCCCCTCCCCTTGACCATTTCCCTCCTGCTAGGGTCCTGACCCAACTGTCCAGCGCCTTGGGACGTCCTCCCGACGTGAAAGGCGCTCTCTAAATGAAATCTTGTTGTTGCTGCTGTTGTTGTTGTTGCTTATGCATTGAAATCCCACAGACAGATCTCCCAATAAACACAATCACTATCATTTACAGTGAATCACGTGAAGCGCTTTGCGGTGTCTCTGCAACATGATAAACCGCTGTATCACATGTCCTGTTTATCTTTGATACATTCTGCGCTGTTGCTCAACACAGATTTGTGGTGAATTACTTCCCATTAATATTTATGTTAACTCAGCAGTGACAAAGTGCGAGATTGACCCTCCCTGTACCGACACAATAAATATAGACACGTATCACACGCAGACAGTCCTCGTGTACCTGGGCATTTAGGTGTGCGATTCCCTCACCCGAGAGTATTGACAGACAGTGTAGAGGGAGCTTTCCTGCGTCCCTAACATTGACCTCGGAGTCTGGACGGACAACGCACAGGGAGCTTTACTGTGTCTGTAACCCTGACCTGGGGTGTGGACGCACAGTGTAGAGGGAGCTTTACTGTATCTCTAACCCTGACATGGGAGTGTGGGCGCACAGTTTTGAGGGAACTTTACTGTGTCTCTAACCCTGACCTGGGAGTGTGGACCCACAGCGTAGAGGGAGCTTTACTGTGTCTCTAACCCTGACCTGGGAGTGTGGATGCCCAGTGTAGAGGGACCTTTACTGTGTCTCTAACCCTGACCTGGGAATGTGGACGCATAGTTTAGAGGGAGATTTACTGCTTCTCTAACCCTGACCTGGGAGTGTGGACACACAGTGTAGAGGGAGCTTTACTGTGTCTCTCACACTAACCTGGGAGTGTGGACCCACAGTGTATGTGGAGCTTTACTGGGTCTCTAACCCTGACCTGGGAGTGTGGACCCATAGTGTAGAGGGAGCTTTACAGTGTCTCTAACACTGACCTGGGAGTGTGGACCCACAGTGTATGGGGAGCTTTACTGTTTCTCTAAATCTCATCTGTGAGTGTGAATGCGCAGTACAGAGGATGATTTACTGAGCTGGTTTCAATAATTTTGAGGCGTTGCCTGTTAATATTAATCCTATTTTTCTTCATTCGCATTAAAGATCGTGAAGAAATCATGGGAGGCGTACAATCTACTTCAAGGTATGGAATTCACGGTTAACTGGAAAACACAATGCGTTAAAAACACAGACAGCGCGCGTGATAACCTTATTATTGTTAATCAATTTTGAAGTAATGTTGACACAATTGTTACCTATATTGCTGCTCCATAGACAATAATTATAAAAAAAGAAATAACCAATATTATTGGACGTAAAAATTGGAGTGAACAGTCCTGGTATATGTCAAAGATTAACGCATAATTCTCTGATAACTCTTTGTATATGTGTGGTGTCTTGTAACATATTGGTTAGTGAGCTCGCCTCACAAGTGAGAGGACTCGGGCTCAATTCCCGGGTGGGCCAATGTGAAACCATCGGCAAGTTTCTTAACTCCACACATACATACACGTCTCTGTTTCCCTTGTCCTTTGCCTAGTTTACCTAGGAACCCGCTGTTAGTCGATTGGCAGATCGCTTTACGATGGCTAGTAATTCATCCAAAGCAATTGTCATCATGCTTTAACAGTGAGAGGTCATCTTTAGGATCATTGTTGTGGTTTATTTGGATTTTAGGCAACATGAACCTTCGGTAAGGATTTCCAAAGAGCTCTCGGAAGGGGAGAAGTGTGCGCGGAGGAAGCGCAACAACGTAGTCAGACATGCCATCTTGAAACTGACAGGGAAATGTCCTGACAAGGTACTGAGTGTGTGTGCGTGCGTGTGAGCGACAGAGAGAGAGACTATCAGTGAGAGGGTGAGTGACAGACTGAGCGTGTGAGAGTTACTGAGAGTGAGAGGATGTTTGGGAGTCTGTGTGACAGACACAGTGTGTGAGAAAGAGAGATTGAATGACAGGCTGAGAGTGTGAAACAGACGGAGAGTAAGAGGGTGCGAGTGACAGAAAGAGAGCGTGAGAACGAATGAGAGTTAGAGGGTTGAATGACTGTCTGTGTGAGCGTGTGAGAGAGATTGAGTGGGAGAGGATGGAAATCACGGACTGAGAATGTAAGAGATACTGAATGTCAGAAGGTGAGTGAGAATGTTTTTCAGAGAGAGAGTGGAGAGAGAGTGTGAGGGAGAGTGTGAGGGAGACTGCGTCAGGGAGTGTGAGAGAGTGTGAGGGAGAGTGTGTCAGGGAGAGTTTGAGAGATTGTGAGGGAGTGTGTCAGGGAGAGTGTGAGAGAGAGAGTGTGATGGAGAGTGTGAGAGAGAGAGTGTGAGGGAGAGTGTGCCACAGAGAGTGTGAGAGAGAGAATGTGAGGGAAAGTGTGAGAGTATGTGTAAGAAATAAATTTTGAGAGACAGACTGAAAGTGTGAGTGAATTTGAGTGATAGACAGAGAGTGTGAGAGATTGGGATTGTGAGAGTGTGTGACAGGGAGTATAAGACAATGTTTGAAAGTGTAAGAGAGAACGATTGTGAGAGCGATTGTGTGAGACTATGAAACAAAACATATGAGAGAGATACTGTGACAGGGTGTGTGAGATTCTGTGAGAGAGTGTGTGGGAGAGTATGTGAGAGAATGTGTGGGAGAGTGTGTGAGAGAGTGTGGGGAGAGTGTGTGGGAGATTGTGTGAGAGAGTATGTGAGAGAGTGTACGAGAGAGTGTGTGGGAGTGTGTGTGAGAGAGGGTGTGTGACAGTGTGTGAGAGAGTGTGGGGGAGAGTGTGTGGGAGAGTGTGTGAGAGAGTGTGTGGGAGAATGTGTGGGAGAGTGTGTGAGAGAGTATGTGAGAGAGTGTATGAGACAGTGTGTGGGAGAGTGTGTGGGAGAGTATGTGAGAGAGTGTGTGAGAGAGTGTGTGGGAGAGTGTGTGAGAGAGTGTGTGGGAGAGTGTAGGAGAAAGTGAGTGTGAGAGAGAATGTGTGAAAGAGAATATATGAGAGAAACAAAGAGAGAGAATGAGAGGGAAATAGTGAGAAACATAGAGAGAGAGAGGGGATGTTTGAGAGACAGCGATTAACGTGTCGTGGCGTGTGTGTGTCACAGGGTCGTGAACCCACCATCGCAGTGCTGGGCTCGGGGGGAGGTCTCCGCGCCACCATCGCCATGCTGGGGACCCTCCAGGCGCTGGCGGATAGCGACCTGCTGGACTGTGTCAGCTACCTGAGCGGTGTGTCAGGCTCCACCTGGTTAGTGAGGAGACACAGCGCACATCTGGCTCTCCCTCTCTGTCTGTATCTCTGTGTCTCTCTCTCTCTCTGTATCTCTCTCAGTCTCTGTATCCCTCTCTGTCTCTCTCTCTCTCTTTGACTGTCTGTCGGTCTGCCTCTTTGTCTCTTGTCTTTGTGTATCTGTGTGTGTGTCTGCCCGTCTCTCTCTCTCTCTCTCTCTCTCTCTCTCTCTCACTCGCTATATATATATATGTACATATCTGTGTGTGTCTGTCACTCGTTCTGCCTGTCTGTCTGTATGTCTCTATGTCTGTGTGTTCCTGTGTGATTGTATATCTCTCCGTCCGCCCGTCCCGTCCCGTCCCGTCCCGTCCGTCCGCCCGCCCGTCCGTCCGCCCGCCCGCCCGCCCGCCCGCCCGCCCGCCCGCCCGTCCGCCGCCCGCCCGCCCGCCCGCCCGCCCGTCCGTCCGTCCGTCCGTCCGTCCGTCTGTCTGTCTGTCTGTCTGTCTGTCTGACAGTATATCTCTGTGTCTGTATGTCTCCGTGTCTCTGTGTTTGTGTGTCGCTGTGTATTTATCTGTCTCTCTTATTATATAAAACACTGTGGATCATGTCTTCTCCAGCACAAGACTCCGTGAAACAATATTCTTGCCTGGCTTCACTGCCTTGCTGAACCCTCAGGGAATCCAGTACAAAATCCTCCTTCTCTCCTTCAAAGGTCTCTCTCTCTCTGTCTGTATCTCTCTCTCTCACTTACCGATCTAACCCCGGTACCGTCCTACTGACGGCAATTCTCAACCCAAATTTGATGGACAGGGATTGAGCATCTCTGCCCCCACCCTCTTGAACTGTACCCCGAAATCTCTCCGCCTTACCTCCTCTCTTATCATCTACGAGTCCCGTCCGAAGACGTTCCTCTTCAACATTGCCTTCGGCCACAGTCCCAACCCCGCCCCGACCTCCACACCTCCTGACCCAAAATCCGAGCACAGATCCTAGAAACCTAGACTGCCCAGAACACTGGGAAGCTTTTCCTACATGAAGGACGCTATATTACTGTAACATTTTGTTGTTGTTGTTGCCTATGTGTGTCTATCTCTATGCGTGTGTCTCTCTGTCTCTGCGTGTGTGTCTATTTGTGTCTGTGTGTGTGTGGGGGGGGGGGTGTATGTGTATCTCTATGCGTGTGTCTCTCTCTGTCTCTGTGTGTGTGTCTAACTGTGTCTGTGTGTGTGTGGCTATCTGTGTGTGTATGTGTGCTTGTCTGTGTGTGTATGTGTGTATCTATCTGTGTCAGTGTGTGTGTGTCTGTCTTTGTGTGGGGGCCATGGGTGCCTGTCTGTGTGTGTGTCTGTGTGTGTGAGTGTGTGTGTGTGTGTTTGTGTCTGCGTGTATGCGTGTGTCTATCTGTGTCTGTGTGTGTGTTTGTCTTTGTGTGAGGGGTATGTGTGCCTGTCTGTATGTGCCTATGCGTGTCTGTGTGTGTCTCTCTGTGTGTGTGTGTGTGTGTGTGTGTGCCTGTCTGTGTGCCTACCTGTGCCGCCCGCAGCACAGCAGCAGTCCTGGTCAAAGTGACAAATAACATTCTGTCCATCTGCGACCAGGAATCCCTCTGCCTCCTCGTCCTCCTTGACTTCTGGGTCCTTCGACACTGACGACCACTCCACCCTCATCCACTGCTTCTACTCTCACCTCAGCCTTCACAGGCCTTTACTTGAATGATTGAGATCGTACCACTCACACTTTCCCACTTCGTCTACACAAACGGTTTCTCCTCTCGCACCCATGTTGTCTTGTGCAACGTTCCTCAGTCCTCTGTCCTTGGTCCACACCTCTTCAAAACTTATATGTTCCATCTCAGTAGCACCATCTGCTGACATGGGCTCAACTTCCAAATGTATGTGGATGACAGCAAACTCTACCCGTCTGTCACCATCCCTTGACTCCAGGACCACTGTTGTCCTCAGAGAATGTCTGTCAGACATCAATTCCTGGATGAGAGCTAACATTCCTCATTTCATCACCAAGATGACCCAAGCGCTCTTGATTGGCTCCCATCAGTGCCTCCACACCTCAGGCTGACAGCGTCGATATCCAAGGATGTACACTCAACCTTGCTAACCCATTCCGGAACTTTGGGGTCTTGTTGGATCCTCATCTATCCTTTCCACCCCACATCCGAGTGAGCAGCACTGCTTTCCCCCCATATCCGCAACGACGCACAGCTCCACCACTGTCTCACGCCGTTGGCCGCCGAGGCCATTATACATGCTTTCATAACAGCAAGGCTTGACGGTGCAATCTCCCTGCATTTCGGTCTCCCCAATTCCTCGCTCCGTAGGCTGCAGATTACCCAGAACTCTGCAGCCCGTGTCCTCTACCGCACCAGACTCCATGAACCTATCACCCGCATCCTCGCCCGTTTCCACGAGCTCCCCTTACCCCAGAGGATACAATTGAAGCACCTGATCCTCATCTTCAATACCCTGCATGGTCTTGAACTCCATCCCGCAGTTCCACCGCCTCGCCCCTCCCTCGTCTCCTTCAACAACCATCTGACGACCCTCCTCTTCGACCGTGCCATCGATTACGCTGTTCCCCCTCACCCTGACCGCACTATCCACAATCCAGACCCCCAGCTCAGGTCCGAAACATTGGCTGTCCAATCGCCTTGGAACATCCACCCAACGTGAAAGGCGCTATACACACTTAATGTTGTGGTTGTCATGCGTCTCTGTCTGTATTCTTCTCTCTGTCTTCATGTGTCTTTCTGTCTGCTTGGTTCTGTGTGTGTCTGTGTGTGTGTGTGTGTGTGTGTGTGTCGGTCTGCCTGACTCTTTCTCTCCCTCCCTCTCTCTCTCTCTCTCTCTCTCTCTCTCAGTCACTCTCACTGTCTCAGTCTCATTTTACTCTCTCTGTCTCTGTCTGTCTGTCTGTCTGTCTGTGCGCTTGTTTGCGTGTGTGTGTGTATCTGTCTGTCTGTGTGTCTGTCTTTGTGCTTGTATGTCTGTGTGTTTGTCTGTCTGTCTAGCAGTCTGTTTCCCTCTCTCTCTTTCTTTCTCTTTCTCTCCCTCTCAGTCAGTCTCTCCCCTTCTCAGTCTCCTTCTTTTAGTCTCTGTGTCTCTGTCTGTCTGTCTGTCTGCCTGTCTGTCTGTCTGTCTGTCTGTCTGTCTGTCTGTCTGTCTGTCTGTCTGTCTGTCTGTCTGTCTGTCTATCTGTCTGTCTATCTGTCTGCATGGCTGCCTCTGAATGAATTTATGTCTCTATCTTTCTCTTTATGTCTCTCTCTATGTCTCTCAATTGCTCTTTCTCATCTCTCTCTCTATATCTCTCTCTCTATCTTTCCCTATGTCTCTCCTGAGAAGGGTGGTAGGGAGTGAACCTCAGACCGACCTCTCTTTCTTACGCAGGGCTATGAGCCAACTGTACTCCCAGATGGAATGGTCCGTAAACATGGAACAGATGGTCAGTGATCTCAGATCACAGATCACTGAGAAAAAGAGGACGTGTCACGATTCCATGGAGTACCTCAAGCAGATAGGGAACGATCCCACGTACTCACTCACTCACTTCTGGGGAGCCTCGCTGGTCTATGACTGCCTGGGCAAGGTGGGCTGCAACAACACAGTGTGGACTCATCCCAAGACATCACCTACACCTCTCCATGTCTCCGTCTCTCACACGATGTCTCACTGGCTCCCTCCCTACCTCACGCTCTCACACACAAAACTCTCTCATACACACACTTCATCCCTGTCACTCAATGGCACTCACTCCTACACACGCATTTACAATCACTCACTCACAAACTCACAAAAACTCTCACACACTCACTCATATGGATTCACTCAGTCTCACTCACTGACTCCTTCACTCAATCACACTCTCACACACATATAAATTCACTTACTGACTCACTCACGCACTCACACAAACTCTCACGCACTCACACAAATAGATTCTCTCACTCTAACACACTCTCACTCAATCACAAACTCACACAAACTCTCACACACTCACTCACTGACACACATAGATTCACTCAATCTCACTCACTGACTCAATCACGCTCTCACACAAACTCTCACACACTCATACACATAGATTCACTCACTCTCACTCACTGACTCACTCACACTCTCACACAAACTCACACACTCACACATATAGATTCACTCACTCTCACTCATTGACTCACACACTCACTCATACTCTCACAAACATATAGATTCACCCACTGACTCACTCACGAACTCACACAAACTCTCAGACACTCACACACATAGATTGATTAACTCTCACACACTCTCACACACTCACTCACTCACTCACACTCTTACACACATATAGATTCACTCACTGACTCACTCAACAACTACACAAACTATCACGCACTCACACATACAGATTCACTCATTCTCACTCACTGACTCACTCACACTCTCACACAAACTCACACACTCACACACATAGATTCACTCACTCTCACTCATTGACTCACACACTCACTCATACTCTCACAAACATATAGATTCACTCACTGACTCACACAAACTCTCACACACTCACACCCATAGATTCATTAACTCTCACACACTCTCACACACTCATTCACTCACTCACACTCTTACGCACATATAGATTCACCCATTGACTCAGTCAACAACTCACACAAACTCTCACGCACTCACACATATAGATTCACTCACTCTCACAAACTCTCACACATTCTCACTCACTTGCACACTCCACTCACAAATTCTATCAGAAACTCGTTCACTCACGCATACATACACCACATTTTCTCACACACTGACTCACACATATATACACCCATTCACTCACAGTCACACACACACTTCTTCCCCACTCAAATACTCACACTGTCTTCTACACACTCACTCTCACACACACATACACTCACTCTCCCACACTCCTTCACGCGGACATAAACCTGGCCAACGCTTGTGTCTCGGGATGGGAGAGCGTTGCGGATAATGTATGTGTGTTAATTGCAGATTGAGACCAGCAAACTGTCCGATCATCAAGTCGCTGCCAGTAACGGGACAAACCCCTACCCCATTTATGCTGCCGTTCACGGACATCGAGAGCGACATTCACACACAACAGGTCAGTTCTTCTCTGACCGCATTACCCCCCGAACACTCCGTCTACCCTTCGTGTCGGAGCTGGTGATTGCTCCTAAATCCCCCAAACCCCACTGCCCGTCCCTCCTCTCATGCCTGACTTGCTGACTGTTCCCAGCGACGTCAGTTTTGGCTCCAGATTTCCAGAACCTGCAGTATTTTGCCCTTCCCTTTCCAGCCTCTCCTTTGGTTAGTTTTGCTGAGCTGATTCTCTGTGTTTGGTAGACGCCTGGTTCGAGTTCACTCCTCACGAGGTTGGCTTCCCGACTCCGGGCGCTTTCGTCTCCACCAAAGAGTTCAACCACAAGTTTGATGCCGGAACGAAAATAAAAGAGATGAATGTGGAGAAGGATTTAAACTACTTACAGGGTACGAGAAGTCTTTCACTACCCCACCCACACCCGCCCCCCAGCCCCAATCCCCCCCAATCCTCCCTACCCCAACCTTCCCTCAACTCCGTGACGACGTCTCAAAGCGCTTTCCAGTACTCCAAGTGATGTGCAGTGACTGCATAATTAAGCGGTAGCACGCCCTCCCTTCCAGTCGCTGGAAACAGACAGGAAGTGTGTGGTTTTATCTGTCGGACAGGACACCGGGAGCGACATAAATTGAAACTGAAGGAAAGACAGAAAGAGAGAGAGAGATTCTCAGAGACTCAGAGAGAATGAATGCGAGAGAGAGAGACTGAGAGCGTATGAAGCATTGAAAGTGAGAGAAAGACTGACTGAGAGAGATGTGCGATAGAGAGAGAGACTGAGTGAGAAAGACAAACGGAGAGTGACAGTGAGTGAGAGAGACTGACAGCGAGAGTGACAGATCGATTGACAGTGAGAAAGAAAGAGTGAAGCATTGAGAGAGAGCGAGAGAGAGAGAGAGAGAGAGAGGAGATAGCGAATGATAGAGAGAGAGAGTGAGAGAGAGAAAGCGAGAGAGAGGATGAGAGCGAGAGAGAGACTGAGATCGAGAGACAGAGTGAGAACGTGACAGGGAGTGAAAGAGAGAAATTGAGAGAGAAAGAGAGACTGAAAGGGTAAAATAGACTAAGAGAGACCGAGAGAGACGAAGTGAAAAAGAAAGACTGAGAGAGAGAGAGAGAGAGAGAAGGAATGAGCACGAAAGAGAGACAGAGAGCGAGAAAGAGAGAGTGAGAAAGAGAAAGAGAGAGAGAAAGAGAGACCGAGCGAGAGCTCAAGGGAGACAACGAGAGGAAGAGATACATAGCGGTAGCAAGCGATAGACTGAGAGAGAGACGCCCGCCCACCACCAAACTCTACCAGCCCTACCTCCCCCCCCTCTCTCTCTCCACCCAGCGATGGAGACTCAACTTAAGGTAAACAGGTTCGAGTATCCTGACACGTGCGTTTGAGTGAGGCTTTGGGGGAGTGGCGGGGCGGTTAGGGGGTGTTGGATGGGTGGGGAGAGCGGTTAGGAGGTGATGGGGGTATAGGGGGAGCGGTTAGGGGGTGTTGGGCGGAGCAATTATGGGGTTTGGGGGGTGGGGGCGGTTGAGGGTGTGGGGGGAGCGGTTAGGGAGTGTTGGGAGGGGGTGGGCGGTTAGTGGGTGTTGGGGTTGTGGGGGGAGAAGTTAGGAGGTGATGAAGGGGGCGGTTAGGGGGTGCTGGGGGGTGGTGAGAGCGGTTAGGGGGTGTTGGAGAGGGAGTGGGGGGAGGGGATTTGAAATCAGAGAGACCGAGACAGGATCTGATCCATTTCCCTTCTTGACAGATGACGATGTTAAATTGAGACTAACATCTCTCTCTCTCTCTCTGTCTTTTCCAGGTCTCTGGGGCAGTGCTCTCGCGGACAAGAAAGCCATTTGGGGTACAAACATCTCCGTTTTCTGGTTGAAATCCTTTCCGGATCGACTTCAAAGATCTTCTCACTCGTGTTCAAATCCCATTACTCTCCCCCTGGCCTCTCACTCACTACCTTTTCGACCTCAATCGCACCGCAATCCACCACCAGGTCAACGTGACCGTGTGTTTATCGCAGGACAGGAGCTCATCCAACGCACACACCGCCCGCCACCAGTAACCCCAAATCCCTCCACCCCCTCTACCCTCCCGCTCCCCCACCCACCCCCTACTTCCCACCTCGGTTGTGCCACAAATAGCCTCGAGCAATTTTTACTGGTGGCCAGGACACTGAGAGATTGAGGGAGAGAGAGAGAGAGAGAGAGAGGGAGAGAGAGAGAGAAAGAGAGAAGGGGGGACTAGCGAGTGAGAGACTGAGAAAGAAACTGTGAGAGAGGGCGGGAGAGAATAGTCAGAGAGAAAGAATGAAAGCGAGACTGAAAGAGAGAGAGAGAGAGTGAGAGAGAGAGAGAGAGAGAGAGATGTCTTAAATATGCCAGGACCGGGAGTGAGTGAGGTTTAACTTCTCAACAGGCATCTCCGACGACCCCTCTCTCTCTCCCTATCTCTCTCTCTCTCTCTCAGTCTCTCGCTCTCTCTCTGTCTCTCCCTCTCTCTCTCCCCCTCCCCCTCTCTCTCTACCTCTCACTACCTCTCTCTCTCTCTCTCTCCCCCTCAATCTCTCCCTTTTCTCTCTCTCTCCCTCTGTCGGTCTCTATCTCCCTCTCTCTCTCTCTCCCTTTCTCTCTCTCTCTTCCTTTCTCTCTCTCACTCTCTTTCTCTCTCTCTCTCTCTCTCAGTCGGCCTCACGCCCGTCCCTCCCATCCTCCATCCCACCATTGGATATCGCGCTTTCCGTCACGACGCCTCTGGATCATTGCCCCACATTGCGCCTCAATACCGCTCACTGCCCCTCATTGCCACTGCAATCTACTTTTTCAAGTCCGGTCTGAAAATATTCCTCTTTTTGTGGCTCGGGGCCACGCACCCCCACATCTCGGAGTCGTGCTCCACCGCTTTAAATCGCGCTGAGACATTTTCCATGCGTGGAGGGCGCTATATAAGTGCAAATCGTTGATGTTGTTACAAATTGAAATCCACGCCCGTCAGCCCAAGAAGTGTGTCTCAAAGAGCACAACTGGTGAATTGTAGTGACCGTGTGTTTAACACAGGACAAGAGCCCAACCAAAGCACATCCCACAACCGACCACCAACCCGCTCCGTTTTGCAACTATTTTTTACTGGTGGCCAGGACACTGACAGACAGAGTGAGAGATAGATAGAGAGAGACTAGCGAGAGGGAGAGACTGAGAGGGAAACAGAGAGAGAGAGAGAGAGAAGGAGAAGGAGGGAGAGAATGAGAAAGAGAGAGAGAGAGACTGAGAGAGAAACAGAGAGAGAAAGAGAGAAAGGGGGGGAGGGCGAGAGAGACGGGGAGCCAAAGAGAGAAAGCGGGGGGGGGGGGGGGGGGAGGAGGGGGGGGGGAGACATAGAGAGAAAGAGAAAGAGAGAGAGAGGGGTGGTGGGTTGGGGGGGAGCGAGCGAGAGAGAGAGAGAGAGAAAGAGAGAGATTATCGAGTGAGCGAGACCGAGAGTGAGAAACTGAGAAAGAAACTGAGAGAGAGAGAAGGAGAGACTAGTGCGAGACAAGGAATGAGAGAGAGACTGACACAGACAGACAGACAGAAAGACAGACAGACAGACAGACAGACAGACAGACAGACAGACAGACAGACAGACAGACAGACAGACAGACAGACAGACAGACAGACAGACAGACAGACAGACAGACAGATTTTGAACAAGCCAGGACCGGGAATGAGTGAGGTTTATCTTCTCAACCGGCATCTGCGACGACTCTAGCTCTCTCCTCTCTCTCTCTCTCCCTCTCTCTGTCTCTCTCTCTCTCTCTCTCTCTCTCCTCTCTCCGTATTGTGCTGGAGCTTTAGTTTAGATTATACAGGTTCCTCGCACCTGACGTATGTGTGTGTGTGTATGTGTGAGTGTGTGGATGTGGGGTGGGGAGTGGGGATGTGGGGGAGAGGGGGTGGGATGCGGTGGTGGTGGGGGTGGTCTGAGGCAATGCTTGGAGGCGAGACAGAGAGTGCTAAAAAGCGCTGGTCAAATGTAAGGATATTTATCTTTTTTTAATGGTTTTGATTCTTTTTTGCAGAATGGATCAAGGAACAGTTGTGGAGAATCGTACACCAACCTCAATGTTAGTGCATGATTGGACTTCTTACGCGCATATATCTCATAACCTCAAAATAATAATAATAATAATCCTTGCATTTGATATAGCGCTTTTCACGTCTTCTGGACATTCCAAAGCGCTTCACAGAATATACTGTAAAGTGAATTGATTGTATAATGGTGGCTGAAACGCGGCAGCTAATTGCGCACAGCAATGTCCCACAAACATTCGTGGATTGAAAATGACCAAGTTATTATTGTTTTGCTTTTTGGAGGGATTATTGTTAGGCGTGTGGGGTGAGGAAACTTGCCCAAGGTTTCGCCCTGACCTGCCTGGAATTGAACCCATGTCTCTCGCTTGCAAAGCGAGTGCTCTAACCATTGAGCTACAGGACTCCAAAATGCTTCAGGCTCTCGCATGTACAGACCGCACACACACACAATGCAGACAGTCTCAGAGCTTCAGAGCAACTCACGCTCATCACACGCATTGCACGCACCTCTTAATGACTAACTCTGTCTTTCAGTGCTGAGCAGTTCACCGGAGTCTGAGCAGAGCCACTGTGAACATTGCTCCAGAAAGTTGATGGAAATTTTGGAAATCTTGAACGAAGGGGAGAATTTTGAGGCAGCGCTCAGCAAACTCAACCTGGACGAGACAGGTAAACCTCACTCCCTGACATGACTCCCCAAGTCTCCATACGTCTTGCTTCACACCCGACGTCCGAAGTTTCTGTCAATCTCCTAGTCACACTTCAATCCATCCCCTAACACTCCCGAATTCTCAATCTTTCTCCTTCTCGGTCCTCAATATATTCACTGACTCCGCATGTCTCTGGTGTGGGAGTGACTGAGCTGCCTTGATCCTGGTTTGTAAAAAGAATTGTCTCGATCTGGCCATCTATCGAAGACGGCTGTTGACTCTTACACATTGGACCTGAAAGGAAAATTACACTGCACCCACCACTCAAAGCTTCCCAGTCTCGTTCTCTCACACACACAGAAACACACACCCCCACACACATACACACACACACAGAAACACTCACACACACACACACATAGTCACATAGACACATAGTCACACACACACACGCACACACATACTCTCTCACACAGACACACATACTCAAACACACAGACACACACTGCGCCACTCACACCGGAGTCATGTCTCAAATTAAAGACCAATTCTGTTTTCAGAGCTTTGCGGTTTGTCAGATCACCAGAACAGATCCTCTGAGTATTACTGTGAAAAATTGATCGGAAATTTGGAAACGGTGAATGAAGCGGAGAACAAAAACACCCAAGGTAAATGCATTCCTCTTATATCTCAATCCAGCCCCTGACTCCCTCAAAGTCTTTCGAGTTTAAAGTAGGCTTTACAATTAGGGGTATAGATTGCAATATCCGGAAATTATGATGAAACTTTACAAAACATTGGTAAGGCCTCAGCGAGAGAACAGCGTTCAGATCTGGGCAACACACGTTAGGATCGATTTCAAGGGACTTGAGAGGGTGCAGACAAGGTTCACAGGAAGGTAACAGGAACGATGGTCTTAAGTTATCAAGAGAGGCAAGAGAAGCTAGGATTATTCTCCTTGGAGTATAAGAATTTAAGAGTGGACTTCATAGAAGCTTTGAAAATTATGAGGGATATCGACAGTGTGAACAAGGAGAAACTGTTCTACTTCTGGGCGGGTGGATTGATAACCCGAGCCGACCAATTTCAAATAGTTGTACAAAGATACAGAGGGCAAACGAGGAGAATATTTTTTTAACACAGTTGTTAGGAGGTGGAAAACATTGCCTGAAAGTCTGGTGGAAGCCGGTTCGATAACGGCATTTAAGGGACAAATAGATAGAAATTTGCGGAGGACAAGTTTGCAGGGCAATGGGGAGAGACCCGGGGAGAGGGATTGAATTGGAAAAGCTCTTTTCAAAGAGCTGGTACAGACACTTTCGGTCGAATGGCCTCCTTCTGTGCTGTGAAATTATTTGATTCTATCATTCTATGAAGTCTCCATTCATCTCTCTCTCACAGCTCAATCCTTCCACTGGCTCCTCCAAGCCTCCTTCCGTTTCCATCTCAAACCTCAGTCTATCTCCTGACTTACTTCCCCAAGTCTGAAAACTGAACCGTCCCCTGAATTCCCCCAAGTCTCCATACATAACCCACTGAAACCTCAATCTGTCTGCTGACAACCCACGTCTTTATCCATCTCCATCTCACATCTCCTTCCATCTCCTGACTGCCCTCAAGTCTTAATGGATCTCCCGGTAGTATCGGGGTTTAACCAATCTGCCTTTCTCCCAGTCGATGAGAAGCGGTGTCTGATCCCGAGCGTCTATATGAAGACGATGAGGGCTTTGGTATCCTGGAACTGGGGGGAAAATCCTAACTTCGCCTATCATGACTCTCGCATCAAAGAACTGAGTCCCAGAGGTGAGATTCACACACACACACACACACACACTGTCACGCGCTTTAAACACACACACACACACAAAAACACTCAGTACACTCACCCACACGTGTACTCACACTCACACACAAAATCACTCAGTCACACACACACATTCACAGTCAATAACACACACACTCACTCACACACACTGTAAACACTTTAAACACACACACTCACACACAGTCACTGACTCTATCACACACTCTCAAGCACACACTGCCACACACTTTAAACACACACACTCACACACTCACTCACACATACACTGCCACACACTTTAAACACACAATAACACACACAGCCACACACTTTAAACACACACACTCACTCACACATACTGCCACTCACTTTAAACACACACATTCATATACACACTCACTCACACTAACACACGCACTCATTCACACACACTGTCACACACTTTAAACACACACATTCACTAACACAAACACACTGCTACACATTCCCTCACACACACTGCCACACTTTAAACACACACACTCACAAACACACTCACACTAACACACACACTCTCTCACACACACTGCCACACATTTTAAACACACACACTCTCCAACACTCACTCACACTAACACACACACCTACTGACACACACGTTAAACACACACACTCACACACACACTCAACAAACTCACTCCAACGTGCACTCACACACTGAGACACTTACTCACAAACCAACACACATTGAAACACTCACTCACACACATACATTCACTCTTTCACATTCACTTCACTCACTCAGTCACTCATACAGTTACACACATACACATACTCTAACTGATTCACTCACACATACTCTCTCACACACTCACTGAATCGTACACACGCTCTGAAGCATTTACTCATACACGCTCTGAAACCATCGCACACTCAGGCACACACTCACTCACACATACTCGCTGTCACATACGCCCTCTCACTCAATCACACATACTCACTCACTAACTTACTCGCTCACACTGAAAAACTCAGTGACTACCACGTGAACTCTGAAACACACACTCAAGCGTAGACGGAAACATTCAATCGCAACAAATCTTACTCACACACGCACTAAAACGCCCGTTCACTCCACACGCACTGAAACACTCACACTCACTCATTCACACACTCACATATTCACTTTCGCTCAACCTCACTTAAACACGCACTGCCTTACTCACTCACTCATACATTCTCACTCTCATTCACAGCCACACAGTCACTTACACATTCATATGCTCACTCACACGTTTACTCACTCACGTACAAATACACAACTACTCACTCACATAATGACTCAACCATTCAGAGTGTCACTCTAGTCTCTTAGTAATAATATTAACCGTTGTAATTACTATAACTACTAATCACGTTGTGGAGATGTCCCAAAGTGCTCCACGTGAAACACTGCAAACCATAGTGATTGTGAGATTTATTCATTTTTTTCTTTGCCAGGTCTGGAGCTGTACGAACAGGAATATCTATACCTGATAGACGCCGGGCTGGAGAATAATTGTGCATATCCCCTGGTGCTCAGGGAAGAGCGTAAAGTGGATCTCGTCCTGTCATTTGATTTCAGCGCTGGTGATCCCTTCCTGGTAATGTACCTGAATCCAAACACTGAAACTAAGAGAGACCTAGAAACAGACAGACTGAGACTGTGAGAGACTGAAAGAATGAGACTGAGACAGTGAAAGACTGAGGGACCGAGAGAGAGAGGAGAGAGAGAGAGAGAATGAGAGAGACTGAGAGAGATACTAAGACAGTGTGAAGATGAGAGAGAGAGAGAGAGAGTCATTGAGAGACCGAGAGATGGAGACTGTAAGATTGAAACAGTGAGAGACTGCGTGAGAGGGAGAGAGGGAGTGAGAGAAAGAGAGACAGATGGGTGTGGGGGTGGGGGATGAGAGAAATAGAGAGAGAGAGGTAGGAGTGGTCGGGGGGTGGGGGGGTGGGGGAGAGAAATCGTAAGAACATAAGGAATAGGAGCAGTAGTAGGCCGGTCGGCTCCTCGAGCCTTGCCACACCATTTAGACAGTTTATGGATGATCTTCTAACCTAACTCCATTTACACACCATATCCCCATATGCCTCAATGCCTTTCGTTTTTACAAAATCAATCAATCACAGTCTTGAATATGTTTAATGGCTGAGCATCCACAGCCTTCTGGGGTAGATAACCCCATAAAATCAATATCCTCTGAAGGAAGAAATGTTTTCTCAACTCAGTTCTTAAACTGACCTTTAGTCCTGAGACCAGGGCATCTAGTTGCAAATTCTCCAAACAGGGAATCTGTCTAACATTACCTACCCTGTCAACGACCTTAAGAATCTTACAGGTTTCTATAAGATCGCCTTTAATTCTTTTATAGTCTGAAGAATATAGTCTAGTCAACATTTTGTCGCAGGTCAACCACCTTATCCCAGAAGCCAACCTAGTCTACCTACTTGCACGCCATATAAGGCGAGTATATCATTACTTAGATAAGAAGACCAAAACTGCACACAATATTACAGGTGCGGTCTCACCAAGGCCCTATACAATGGCAGCAAGACTTCCCTATTCTTGTACTCCAACCCCTTTGCAATAAACGCTGACATGCTATTGGCCTTCCTAATTGTTTGCTGTACCTGCAAACTAACTTTCTGTGATTGGAAAACAACGACTCCTAAATCCCTGTGAATACTGACCAAATTTAGTCTTTCCCCCTCCAGAAAATAACCTGTTTTTCTATTTTTTCTACCTAGTGAATAACTTCACACTTTCCCACATTATCTACATCTGCCAACTCCTTGGCCTCTCATTTACCCAGTTTACGTCACTTCACTTCCACCTTGTGGCCTGCTCACAACTTACTTTCCCACCGAGCATTGTATGCTCCGCGAATGTATATACATTAAGCTCTACTTCCTCATCTAAGTCATTGATGTAGACGGTAAACAGTTGAGGCCCAACATTGATCCTTTCGGTACTCAACTAGTTACAGCCCGCCAATCTGAGAAGGACCGATCTATTCCTACTCCCTATGTTCTGACTGTTAATCACTTCAATCCATGTTAATATTCCGTGAGTATTAATCTCATGTAACAACCTTTTATGGGTTACTATGTCGAATTCCTTCTGAAAATCTAAGTACACAATACTTACTGGTTCCCCCCTATCTATCCGACTAACTACGTCTTCAAAAAACTCTAAAAGATTTGTTAAAGACGATTTCCCTTTCATAAAACCGTGTTAACACTGCCTAATCACATGGTGACTTTCTAAGTGCCCTATGATGACATCCCTAATTAGAGACTCTACAATTTACCATGCCACCATCGTCAGGCTATTTGGTCTATGGTTCCCACTTTCTCTCTCCCACTCTTCTTGAATAGCGATGTTACGTTTAGGACCTTCCAATCAACGGGAACCCTTCCAGAATCCAGAATTTGTTTAATGACACTGTTATCACTTTACTGACCATTATATTTTCTCTTGTCTCTTCCGATAAGGGACCTACTTTTACTTTTGTTAAACTCTTTATCCTTATATACTTGTAAAAGCTCTTAAAATCTGTCTTGACATCTCAAAATAGTTTTCTCTCATATTCCACTTTCTCCCTCTTAATCAGTTGGTTATCCTTTGCAGATTTCTAAAGGCCTCCCAATCCTTAGGTTTACAGTTCTTTTTGTCAATATTATAGGCCTCTTCTTTTATCTTTATACTTTCTTTAACTTCTGCAGTTAGCCACGGTTGAACCACTTTTCCCGTGGTATTTGTATTTTTCAAGGGATTATACGTTCGGTCCGAATTACCTAACATATCTTTGAACGTTTGCAATTGCTTTCCTACCATCATATCTTTTAATCTACATTCTTAGTCCATTTTAGCCAAGTAGTCCTCATACTTGCCAACTTGGCTTTACTTAAGTTTATGAGTCTTGTTTCCAACTTAACTACATCACCCTCAAACATAATACTGCTTCGTTCCACAGTACTAGATCTAGGATAACCTGCTCCCTGGTTCGATCCTCAACATACTTATCTAGAAAACTATCTCTAATGCATTCCATAAACTCATCCTCTAACTTACTTTTGCCAATTAGGTTTCCACTGTCTATATGATGATGAAAATCGCCCACTATTCTTGTATTATCCTTGTTACTTGCTCCTCTAATTTCTTGATGAATACTCTACCTATACTGCAACAGCTATTAGGGGTTCCATAAATAGCTTCCACTAGTATTTTCTGCAACTTATTGATTCTTATTTCCACAAATACTGATTCTACATCCTAATTTTTTGGCTTCAAACGCCACATGTCTCAAGGCTACACTTCCCCTCTCTGATTGCCATATTGCCAAAATGTTCAATACATCTGGTAACCTGGAATGTCTAGCTCCCAATCTTTGTTACCCTGTAACCACATCTCAGAAATGGCTATTAGTTCGCACCCGTTTATATCTATAAATTCATCTATGTTGTTACGAAGAGAAAGAGAGAGAGAGAGAGAGAGAGAGGGGCAGCGATATGGAGTCAGTGAGAGAGAGAGTGAGAGAAAGAGAGAGAGAGACGGAGAGAGAAAGAGAGGAGAGAGAGAGAGAAATAGACTGGACGGCAGGCAGGCAGGCAGAGGGACAGGCAGAGAGAGACTAAAAGAAAGAGACTGAGAGACTGAGAAAGGGAGAGACTGACTGAGAGAGAGAAAGAGAGGAGAGAGAAAGAGAAACAGACTGTTAGACAAACAGACAGACAGACAGACAGACAGACAGACAGGCAGGCAGGCAGGCAGGCAGGCAGGCAGGCAGGCAGGCAGGCAGGCAGGCAGGCAGGCAGGCAGGCAGGCAGGCAGACAGACAGACAGACAGACAGACAGACAGACAGACAGACAGACAGACAGACAGACAGACAGACAGACAGACAGACAGACAGACAGACAGACAGACAGACAGACAGACAGACAGAGAGAATAAAAGGAGACTGAGTGAGTGAGAGAGTGACTGGGAGACAGGCGACTGAGAAAGAGAGAGCGAGAGAGATTGGTATATTATTATATCTATATAGAAAGAGAGAGAGAAAGAGTGACTGGGAGAGCGAGAGACTGAGAGTGAGAGAGATTGAGAGTGAGAGCGAGAGATTGAGAGAGACTGAGAGAGAGAGACTGAGAGTGAGAGAGATTGAGGGTGAGAGCGAGAGATTGAGAGAGACTGAGAGAGAGAGAGACTGAGAGTGAGAGAGATTGAGGGTGAGAGAGACTGGGAGAGACTTCGAGAAACAGAGACAGAGACAGAGAGAGATACAGCTGTTGAGTTCTGTGGCAGTAATATAATAATAATAATAATAATAATAATAATAATAATAATAATAATAATAATAATAATAATAATAATAATATTCTTTGCATTTGATATAGCGCTTTCCACGTCGGGAGGACATCCCAAAGCGCTTCACAGAACACACTATAAAGTGAATTGACTGTATTTTTGTGGGCGAACGCGGCAGCCAATTGCGCACAGCAATGTCCCACAAACAGTCGAAGATTGAAAATGACCAATTTATTATTGTTTTTTTGTTTGGGAGGGATTATTATTAGGCGTGTGGAGTAAGGAAACTTGCCCAAGGTTTCGCCCTGCCTGGAATTGAACTCAGGTCTCTAACTTGCAAAGCGAGTGCTCTAACCACTGAGCTATAGGATTCCACTAGGTGGGAGTGCGGGCTGGTATTTTGCTCTGTACGAAACCGTCTTCTCTTGCGTGACAGACGCTGACCGAGGCCGGGAAATACTGCACCGCAAATGGTATCCCATTCCCAGACTTGCCCTTGGAGCTGGATAAAACGCCTCATGACTTTTATGTGTTCACAAAGCCTGGAGCACCCACTGTCGTGCACTTCCCGCTATTCAACGACTGCAACTGCACAGACGGTGAGTGTGCGTGAGACAGAATATGTGCGTGAGTGAGAGTGTGAGTGCGTGAGTGTGAGTGAGAGAGACTGGGCGAGAGTGTTTACTCAACCTGATACTCTCTGCTCACAGGGTCAAGCCCGAAGACGATGATGGATAAATTCGGAACTCAGAAGTTGAGTTACACCGGGTACGAGTTTGACGAGTTGCTGGGAGCAGCAAGTCAGAACGTCAGTAAAAATGTGGGGAAGATCACAGAGCAAATCGAGGCCCTGCTCTGAGCACAGCTGATCTTTGTCCTCCGGGTGTGGGCTTCCCAAAGCTGACCTCAGTCCTCCAGGTGTGGGCTTCCCAAAGCTGACCTTTGTACTCCAGGTTTGACCTGCCCACGGTTGGATGGGGTAAAATGTTCAGACACTGTGAATTGGAAGCCATTTCTGCAAAAATAAATGGAAATAAAACTCAAAGGACGCTGATAAGCGTGAGACACCTCTCTTTGGGGTAAAAGGCGGTATGTGAATGTGAGCGCTGAAGCGCTGTGAGGCGTCGCTCTGGGGGGGCTAAAGGCTGATTGGGTTCTGTATGGCTCCCAAATTCAAGTCTCCAACAGTCCATTGATACACAGACTGATCCTCATTCTCTCTTTGACCAAATTATAGACATGGCCCTGGGCTCTGAGCACGCTGGATATCCTGGCATCTGCTGGCTCTGATCTCTGTGCCTGCTCGTTCTGGTCTCGACCCAGGAAGGAGCGGGTCCCTTCTCCCTCATCTCTCCCCATATACTGCACTCTGTGCTGGTGGAGCTTCATGGGGTACGTACAGGGAAACACAGTCCTGCGGCATTGCGTTCCTGGAGACGATCCGGCGCTCTATGTTACTCTATTGCCCACGCAGAAGATGTCACTCAACGGCGTGTAGGACTAGTTCACTCGCTGTGCGTCAGCCAAGCTCAGTCAGTATACTTCAGCCTGTCTCAGACACTGTATGTCAGTCTGGCTCAGTCACTGTATCTCAGCTTGTCTCAGTAACTATGCTTCAGCCTGGCTCAGTCACTGTGCCTCAGCCTGTCTCAGTCACTATACTTCAGCCTTGCTCAATCACTGTGTGTGAGTCTGTCCCAGACACTGTTTGTCAGCCGGGCTCAGTCACTCTACGTCAGCCTGGCTCAGTCACTGTGTGTCAGCCTGTTTCAGTCACTATACTTCAGCCTGGCTCAGACACTATACTTCAGCCTGGCTCAGACACTATATAATAATAACAATAATCCTACGACTTGATATAGCGCTTTTGAGGTCGGGCGGACGTCCCAAAGCGCTTCACAGAACACACTGTAAAATGAATTCACTGTATAGTTGTGGGCGAACGCGGCAGCCAATAGCGCACAGCAATGTCCCACAAACAATCGTGGATTGAAACTGACCAATTTATTATTGTTTTGTTTTTTGGAGGATTATTATTAGGCTCTGTGTGGAGTAAGGAAACTTGCCCAAGGTTTCGCCCTCTGCCTGGAATTGAACTCAGGTCTCTCGCTTGCAAAGCGAATGCTCTAACCACTGAGCTACAGGACTCCACGAGTCTATCAGTCTGTCTCAGACACTGTATCTTAGGCTGTCTCAGTCACTGTATCTCAGGCTGCCTCAGTCACTGTATCTCAGCCTGTCTCAGACACTGTATGTCATCCTGTCTCAGAAATTGTATCTCAGCCTGGCTCAGTGCTGTATTTCAGCCTGTCTCAAACACTGTATGTCAGTTTTTCTCTGTGCTGTGTTTCACCCTGTCTCAGATACCGTATCTCAGCTTGTCTCAGACATTCTGTGTCAGCCTGGCTCAGTCGCTGTACCTCAGTCTGTCACCGACACTGTATTCATCCTGTCTCAGGCGCAGTATCACAGCCTGTCTCAGACACTGTATTTCACTCTGTCTCAGTCACTCTATGTCAGGCTGTCTCAGTCGCAATGTGTCAGCCTGTCTCATACAGTGTTTCTCAACCTGTCTCAGTCACTGTGTGTCAGCCTGTCTCAGACACTGTATCTCAGCCTGAATCAGTCACTGTACCTCAGCCTGTGTTAATCACTCTACGTCATCCTGGCTCAGTCGCCGTTAGTCAGCCAGGCTCAGACAGTGTATATCTGCCTGTCTCAGACACTGTATCTCAACCTGTCTCAGACAGTATATGTCAGACTGTCTAAGACACTGTATGTCAGCCTGGCTCAGTCACTCTATCTCAGCCTGTCTCAGACACTGTATGTCAGCCTGGCTCAGTCAATGTATCTCAGCCTATCTCAGACACTGTATGTCAACCTGGCTCAGTGACTGGGAGTCAGCCTCAGTTATTTTCTTGGTCTGTCGCCTCGGAGTTCAAAATTCAGCCCACAGACACATACACACACAAACACACACCGGAAAATTGCAGTGACTGAACACATTCAAGACTGAGATTGATACAACAACAACAACAAGATTCCACTAATTGAGAGCCTTTCACGTCGGGCGGACGTCCCAAGGCGCTGATAGATTTCTTGAGGGGAATGGATGAAGGAATATGGGATCAAACGAGTGGGTGGAGGGAGAATAGATCAGCCATGATCTTATTGAATGGCGTGGAAGGCTCGAGGGGCCGAATGACCTCCTCCTGTTCCTAATGCTTACGTTCTTATATTCTTACGACTGTGCGTTTTGACAAACCCCAATTTGCGCAAAGCGTCTTTCACTTAAACAGTTGTGAAGCCAACGGATGAGCGAGTGACACACACAGAGAGTGAGACATACACTGAGAGTGACAGAAGGGAGAGTCGGGCAGACACACACTGAGAGGAATACAGAGACACAGAGAGAGGGAGAGAGACGGTGAGAGAAAAAGATATAGCGAGAAAAAAAATTGGGGTAGACAGAGTGAGAGTGACAGAAAATTGTAGGATTTCTGTAATTTATGTGTTACTTAATATCTCAAATTGTATTTGAGATGGTTATTGATATTTGAAACATATATAATCGGTCTCATGTGGGGGGAGCTGGTAGCGACTGTCGTCGCAGAATATCCTTATTCAAGTAGTGGAAAGGAAAGTCTCTTTATCAAAAAGAAAACTGTATTCATTCATTTTCTGTAAACTTTTCATGGAAACTTGATCTGCAGCTGGAGAGAGAGTTGTATTTTCACACATGTACCGTCCTGCAAAAGTCAGTGGGTGAAAGGTCACCTAAACAGCAATATAAACAACAACAACAACAAAGCTACATTGATAGCCCTCATTTCTCGTCGGGTTGACATTCTAAGACGCTAAACAGTCAGGAGTCAGGACCCGACCATGGGAAGGACTGGGGTAGGGTTGAGGGAAGACAGAGTGGTGGGAGGGAGAGAAAAGGTTGGATCAAAAAAAGGATCTTCAGACCGGCCTTGAAGGAGGCAAGGGAGGAAGCATGGCAGAGGGACCGTGGGATGGAGTTCCAGAGTGTGGGGGCAGAGAGGCTAAAAGCCCGGCCACTAATGGGAGGACGGGTCGGGTGCGAGACATGGAGCAGACCGGAAGCCGATGGACGCAGTGAGCGGGCACGTTGGTAGGAAATCTGCAGGTCGGGGTTGCTGGGGCTCGATCGGGGTTGGTGGGTCTCGATCGGGTTTGCTGGGGCTCGTTCGGGATTGCTAGGGCTTTTTCGGTGTTGCTGGGGCTTGAATGGTGATGGCTGGTGCTCGTTCGGTGTTGGTGGCGCTCGATCGAGGTTTTTTGCGTCTCGTTGGAGGTTGCTGGGATTCGTTCGGGCTTGCTGGGACCCGCTTGGAAATGATGGAGCACATTCGGGGATGCTGGGACTCCTCCATTGTTGCTGGGACTCGATCGGGAATGCTGTGGCTCGTTGGGGGTTGCTGGGCTGGTTTGTAATTGCGTTGGCTCGTTCAGGTTTGCTGGAGCTGGTGCGCGGTTGCTGGGGCTCGCTCGGGGTTGCTGGGGCTCGTTCTTGGTTGCTGGGCTCGTTCGGTGTTGGTGGTGCTCGATCGGGGTTTTCTGAGTCTCGCTGGGGGTTGCTGGGGCTCGGTCGGATTTGCTAGGACTCGTTCGGGGTTACTTGGACACGTTCAGTGTTGCTGGGTCTCGTCCTGATTAGCAGGGTCTCGTTCGGGTTTGCTCGGTCTCGTTCGGGCTTGCTGGGGCTCGTTCGGCTATGCTGGGGTTCGATGGGTGTTGCTGCGGCGCATTCGGGTTTGGTGGGGCTTGCTCAGGGTTTCTGTGAATCGTTCGGTGTTTCTGGTGCTCGTTCGGGATTTTTGGAGCTCGTTTGGGATTGCTGGGGATCGTTCTGGATTACTGCGGCTCGCTCGGGGTTGGTGGGTCTCGTTCAGGAATGTTGGGGCTCGTTGGGTATTTCTGGGATTCGTTCGGATTTAGTGGGGCACGTTCGGGTTTACTGGGACGCGTTCGGGCTTGCTGGAAGTCGATCGGGTTTGCTGAGGCTCGTCCGGTGTTGCTGGGGCTCGTTCGGTGTTGCTGGGGCTCGATTGTTGATGGCTGGTGCCCGTTCGGCGTTGCTGGGCCTCGTTCAGGTTTGCTGGGTCTCGATTGTTGATGGCTGGTGCCCGTTCAGGGTTGCTGGGGCTCGTTCGGTTTTGCTGGAGCTCGTTCGGGTTTGCTGGGGCTCGTTTAGTGATGGCTGGTGCCGTTCGGGTTTGCTGGGCCCCTTTCGGGCTTGCTGGGACTCGCCTGTTGTTGTTGGGGCTCGATCGGATTTTGCTTGGGCTCGTTCGGTGTTATTGGGGATCATTCGGTGTTGCTGCGGATCGTTCGGGTTTGCTGGGGCGCGTCGGTGTTGCAGGAGCTCCTTCCGTGTTGCTGCGCATCGTTCGGATTTCCTGGGGCGCGCTCGGGGATGCTGGGTCTGGTTCGGTGATACTGGGGCTCGTTCGGGGTTTCTGGCACTCATTCTGGTTTAATGGGACATTTCAGGGTTGCTGCGGCACGTTCGGGGTTACTTGGACTCGTTTTGGCTTGCTGGAGCTCGATAGCGTTTGCTGGCGCTCGTTCGGTGTTGCAGTGTCTTGCTTGCTGAAGATCGATCGGGTTTGCTGGGGTTAGTTCGGTGTTGCTGCTGCTAGATCGTGGTTGCTTGGGCTCGATCGGTGTTACTGGGGCTCGATCAGTGTTACTGGGTCTCGTTCGGTGCTGCTGGGGCTCGATTAGTGATAGGTGGTGCTCTTTCGGGGTTGCTGGTGCACGTTCGTTGTTGCTGGGCCTGGTTCTGGCTCTCTCGGTGTTGCTGAGGCTCATCCGTTGTTGCTGCGGATCGATCGGTGTTGCTGGGGCTCGATTGATTTTGCTGGGGCTCGCTCCAGGTTGCTGGGAACCTTTCGGCGTTGCTGGGGCTGGTTCGTGGTTGCTGGCGCTGTTGGTGTAACTGCTGCACGATCGTGTTTGCTGGGTCTCGGTAGGCGTTACTGGGGCTCATTCGGGATCGCTGGGGATAGTCTGGTTTTG